CATATATGTGTATAGTAAGATGAGATATAAGTCTCCTTTAGCTTATTTCTTATCTTGTATACATGTGTACATATAAATACTGTTGTACATATTTTGGGAACTTTAATGAGAATTAGTTTTTATATCTGAGAGTGTTAATATTTACTCTAGCTAGAGACAAGTAGACAACTATACAAACCTCCTCATAGATCACTGATACAACTATACAAATCTCCTTCACTATTCAATACCTCCAAATTAAAGTATGAGTTGGTATAATGGTATTGAGGCCGCGGTTGGTACGGAAGTTTCTACTCCATCTAGTTTAGTTTATTTTTTACATTATGCTCTTTTTGCATATCAATCTTTTTAAAAATCTAGGAACGAATTTTCAAAAAAGCAAAACAAAAGATTACTTAAAAGATGACTTGGTTGGAGTAGGACCATTCTATAAAATAAAAGATGAAAAAGATTTTTTTTTTTTTTATATAAAATTGGGTCACATAAGTTGTAAGGAATCTAGTAGTGGATGTTTTTTTTTGAAAATGGAATGTCTTTTTTTTTTCCATGCAAAAATGTGAAAAAGTTCTCCTTTATTCCTTTCATACAAAAAAGACATCCAAATCCAATAATCCAATTTTTTCCTTTGGTCTTTTCATATATTCTTTTAATGCTAAATTATTATAGGCTTTATTTTTTCGTAGGTCCATCATATATATATATCAAGTTTTCAGAATTATATGTCTTAATTACGTATGTAAGAAAGTCATATAGTGTATCTGCACCCCCGAAATTTTTTTGAAACTCTACGATATTCTGATCTTGACAATGCAAGTTTTTTTTTTTTGGTATGACTTGACAATGCAAGTTTATCCTCACATAATATTTTTATTAAAAGTTTTATGAGTTTGATTGCTAACATTTCACTTCCTATATAACCATTTGGTATAAGACGAGGCAGTAGTATAGAATCGGTAACACAAATTTTGTCGGTTTTGTATGATCATTTTTTGTGAGTATAGAGAGGAGTGGTTAAAAGGCTAAAGATTTATGTTAATGTGAAAGTTTTTATACTCTTTTATTTTTGTTTGATACAAATCTATTACATTTAACATTTAACGTACTACTACCACTTTGGTACAAAAGAACGTACTACTAGCTAGTACCACTTTTATCGGTTTGAGTATGAAAAATTGATATCTCTTAATGTAGTCTTTGAATACAATTTCTATTATGATCTTTCTCTTTTACTTTTTTTCCTTTTCTTTTGTGAAGCAATATTTATATTAGGTTAGCATTGAAGGAGGAGAAATTACAAGAAAATAGTGTTGTTTTTGCTAAAAAATCTGCTTCAAAATTTTTTACAGACAATATATAATGAAACGAAATAGAGAAAATATTGATATATACTAAGCTCTTTGATATCCATCAAGATACCGTTGAGCTCGTTTGCATATCCATCGACATTGAAAAAAACATAAGTTCTTGACAATCCGCAAAACAGACCAACTTTGTTACATCCAGTACTAAAACCGCGATAATCGTCGCCTTCAAAACAAATGCTTCTAGTACTAGAACAGAAGAAACAAAAAATCTTTGTTTAACTATACAGATATTTTCGTAGTATCAAAGTTATTTCCTGTCCTTGTTAAATTCTGAAAGATATATATCTCTTAGTCCTAAGTAACAAATGGTATAGAGAAGGTTATATGCACTATTTCGAGAAAGGCATATTGTTTATAATGAATAAGACAAACTGAAGAAACTTTATATATATGCACAAATGTTTGCATAAAAGCGACAAAAACAGATAACTCTTTAATTTGATTCTCCACTTGAACTAACTTTATTTTTTTTTCACTTTTTCTCACCTCAATCCTTAAATAAGTTAATACTCATGTAGTCATGTTCCGACGTAAATGATATATATACAACTATCAGTCTATCACAACGTACGAGCGAGATAAACGGGTGCCAATAATTGAAAAAGTTTTGATCAAGTAGTGAGGTTTTAAAGCAAAACAAAAAATGATATTTTAGTAAAGAGATTGTGATAGAATTGAGCTTAAAACAAGTTCATTAAGTTTTTTTTTTTTTGCATAAAACTAACTACAATAAAGGTAAACCCTAATATGTTTATCTTTTACCAATCTCGAAATGTTATTAATATGTTTAATAGGAAATGTATTTTGTTGGAACCTCAAATTAATATTCCTTAGTTGTTCTAATACAAAATTTATGCGTCTTCGTAAGTGCGATCTACAAATTTTTCAAGAAGTGCTTGTTGGTGGCAATCGTGGTTGGTATGGGGAGATCTTTTAGTATAGAGAACATTGAAAGCTAGAATAAAAGAACCATTTAGATTTTTGTTTTGACGAGGATGATGAAGGCCACATTCTTCTTCGAATGACCCAAATCATGAGAACAAAGGAACAAAAACTAAAAATATATACTAGTAATCTAGTATATATATAGTGGTGTAAAAGCAAAATGAGTTTATAAATGATGCAACATTTAAATTTGCATAGGCTATTATAACTATGATGAATACTTATAAGAACTAAATTTGAAAGATTATAAATTTAAATGATGTTCTTATAAATATTCATCATAATTATAATAACCTATGCAAATTTAATGTTGCGTCATTTATAATTTCATTTTGCTTTTACACCACTATATATATACTAGATTACTAGTATATATTTGGTTTATAAACAATTTGGTTCAAAATATGATTTTTTCAACTAATATGAAAAAATATAAGAAAAGAAAGAAGAGAAATATAATTTGTTCTCTGAAAAAAAAAGGGAATCGAAGAGAAAGAGCAGCTTTTACAAAATTTGAATATGCAAAAGAATGATTGAAATGAAAATGAGAAAGTTGTCTTTAACTTTGAGCTATCATTCAACTCATGAACTACTTTTCTTTTAAGTGATTATATAGTATCATTAGGTAGATTAGATTCATGTGTATGATGAATATAGTTATTAATGGTATATTCATAGATATATATTTTTAATTGAATTACTAGTATCAGTTTTGTTTTCTTGAACTTTAACCCACGTAAAGTGTGAATGGGGATGTTTTAGAAAATTTTAATCTTAATTAGTTGATAATTGTTTTTTGTACTATTTTTGATATTAGTTAACTGTATTATTATTTTTGGATAAAATTCACCAAAGACAAAGCCATCACACTTTCTTAATATGATTAAAAAACTTAAGAGTAAATATCATGATTAATAGAGTATGTTAATCTAAAGCATCTTTGATTTGAAAAATCATGACAAATTATAAAGATTCATATCTTTACGAAATAGAAGTCCAAAAGTTTTTCAAAAGATATATCTTTAAATAAAAGAATATCCAGAATATATATTTATTCTCTCCCACAATTTCTACATATATAAACTTTCATTATAAAATAAAAAGCTTTTACATGTAACCTTACAAAGCTAAGTAGACTTTGTATAGTTATAATGTTATATATATAACATTCTAAACAGGCATTATGGACTCGAAAAATCGATTATATGTTAGCTAGATCGGAAAATTTTATTTTGAACAGTAAACTGTTAGTTAGGAGTAGGACTCAAAATAATTTTGTGGTCTGTTCTTTTTCTTTTAAATCTTATTTTTGGTAATGGTTATTTGGATATATTTATCTTTGTATTATCTAAAGAAAAAGCAAACATCTCTTTTGCAGATCCTTTTCTCTTTGTCGTTACTTTGTAAGGCATGATTAGGTGAAACTTCACAAATAATCATCTCGACACTTTACTTTAAAAAATTCATACGTTCTTACCACAACATTAACGAGATACATACGGTAGTTGGTATACCAATGTTTTAATTCATAAACATATATAATATAAAACAATATATAAATAGTAAAACCTTACAACAAGTGTAATGATTCTCTATATTATTGACAAGTAATAATAATAGAGAACAATATTTACATTGTAAGAAATTATATTTTCACCTCATGGTATTAATTTTTTTGTTTGATATATGTTATTGAATCAATATATAATGCATATTAAATTTTAAGAGATGCCCTAAAATATCATCAAACTAAAGCACTATTACTAATTTTGTTTTTCTCAAAGTTACAACTGCAAAAATTTTAGTCCAAAAAGACCATAAACACTAAAAATTAGGGTTTATTGTAATTTAAAATTTTGAATTTTGCGTTTAGTACGTATTATGGGTTTAAGATTTAGTTTTTATGGTTTGGGGATCATGATTTAGTTTTGAACGTTTAAAGGTAAGTTTCAGTTTTCAGGTATTTTTAAGAAATTTTTTTTTTAGTGGTTACTTTGAGGAAAAAAAAATAGATATGGTATATATAGAAGAAAAAAGTCACTTTAGTGTTATTTTGGAGAATTATCCTAAAAATTTTACATAAATTAATTTAATATAAAACATTTCATGACTATGGTCGAGAAGGTTTTTGGACTCTTCAACGCAAGGGGTTTGGGATGTTGGATCTTGTCCTGATGTGTCTTTTGCTTACACTAAGATTAAAGAAATACGAGTTGGGTGTTACATAGTTTATTTTTATGCTTTAACATGAGATTTAGGTTGAAGAGTCTCATGTTTATAAACATATTTAGTTTATTTTGTATTACGGTTGCAGCATTTAGAACCCTTTTGTAATGGGCTATTCAACCTAGCAAGCTAGTCTCATGTATTCACTTCCAATTTGCATATTTGTGACCCGTTCCGTAGCTACCAAACTAAATCATATCTTTATCAAGTTGGTTCAGAGTCATTCAGATTTCAAAAAAATTCAGAATAAACCTAAAGAAATCGTCACGGATTTACCGTTTGGAACACCTATTTGCGGAACTCGAATTTCGTTCGAATCAGAAGGTTTTTTGCGGTTCCGATATTTGATTAGATTTCAGTTTCAACACAATCAAACATTGTATTCTGTTGAACTCAACAATGGAATGAATCAAAATTGATTCAAAATCAGCATGGTCTAGCTGATTAATAAGTCAACCTGGTTTTAAACTTACCAATCCGATGATATTAACAAACATTAAAAAGGCAAGAAAATTACAAATAGAGTTTGTTCGTTAACTAATTAGACATTAGTTCGGTCAAATAACAATCACATGTATACTTCCATACCTAGAAACTTAGAAGATTGACACAAAGGACAAGAGCTAAGCTTCCTCTCACACTCCTTACACAGACACATATGCTTACATGGCAACAACAACATACACACTTCTCTCACTCCACAAAACCTGCACATCATCATCGGCTTTGCGTTATTGTTGCTGTTGTTGTTTCTGCCATTGAAGCAAGAAGCTGTGTCGTCCACTTCACTATCTCCACATCCTTCAATGCTGTCTCTTGGCCGACCTTGAGCTCGCTCAAGATTGTAGTTGAGGGCAGCGATCATGTTCTCGTTGTACTTTGCACGTTGTTGCCATGCCTCGGCTTCCATTGTCAGCTGTTCCATTCGCACCTCGAGTTCCTTGTTCTTTCGGTTTATTGTCTCTAGTTCCTCATCTTTCTCACGGAGTTTCTGAACAACTCTTTCCTCCACGAGTGACACCGTTTTATGTTGACCCCTCTGGATCTTATCGAGAATAGCATGCCGCAACTGATCCCCCTATCCAAGATACAAAGAATCAAAAAACACATAGAAACAAAAACCAAAAATCAAACAGAATGAGAAGCTCAGCTCATCCTCGAGCGGGTTTCCAATAACAAAACATCATAAGAACATCAACCAAATGTCAAGTTTATATACCTGAATCTTGATAAACCTATCGATATCTGCATCCTGCCGCTGTAACTCCCGATCAATATCGTCTCCAACAAGAGCCAACAAACCCGAACCATCAGAAGAAGCTATACGAGCATTATCAAGGGAAAGACCCAATCCTGTTGACACAGAACGAGCTTGCCAAAAATCAATCGAAGATATCTGAGAATTGTTCTCCAAAAAATCCTGTTCCTTTAACCTCTCACGTCTTGGTTCAAGACCAAGACCATAGTTCCACTCAAAGTCAGCACCATTACCATTATTACCATTACCACCATCAGACCCATCAATCTGAACAACAGGTCCAGGTGCAAAACCAGCAACATGAACTACAAACACAATAAAAATCAAACCTTTAAATTCCCAAAATCCCCAAATCTTAAAAGTGTAAGACTTCGATACAAAGAGATGAGACTTACAAGGAGGAATATATGGAGGATGCTGAGATTGGTCGTGGAGGTTTGCAGAGCTGTCAAACCCTAACTCCGGCGAAATCTGACCGTCGATTCCGCAAAAATCCCTGAAAACAGAGCAAATTGGCAAAATTAGGGTTTTCGATTTTTCAAAATTTACAGGAAAAATTAGGGCTTTTTATCACAGAGAGACCTGAAGAAAGCGAAAGAGAAGAGATTGTTACCTGAAATTCTTGGAATCTTGAAGGTGTGGATCTAAATGGTGAGGAAGAGCCATTGATGAACTTTGTAGAGACAGAGAGAGAAGGTAAGAGAAGAGAAGAGAAGAGAAGGAGACGGAAATGGCTTCTGAATTTGGAAACTCTTTAAGATTTGTATTTATGATCGGGTCCTTAATATTTTGCTTTATCTTTGTTTTTGACCTTATAGTTTGGTTATTTTTATTATTCGTCTTTATATTCTTCAAATTAAAGTTTAGCCCAATTTTGATTCCAACTGCAAACACTCACAATCCCATTAACAGATTCAATTTTGCTTTCATAACTGGGAGAATTATTTTATACAGTATGATACAAAGGTGTTTAGCCCAGTTTCGTACCATTTTATAATATTTTCTCGCGTTTCTATGTACTTATTATACTCTATTTAAAGGTGTTTAGCCCAGTTTCGTACCATTTTATAATATTTTCTCGCGTTTCTATATACTTATTATACTCTATTTGTTTCACAAGAGTGTCATTCTATAGTTTTATATTTGTTTAACAAATAGAGTCATTTAACTTTTCAATGCATTTTATCACTAATTTTACCCTTAATCTGAAATAAATTAAACTATTAAACATTTATTAAATAGGGGGATAAATGTACAATTTTTGTGAAATGTGTCAAAGTGACTTTCTTTGTGAAACAGAAGCAGTATTAACGAAATAAGTTTTTTTTTCTCAACCAAAATTTAATTTAAATATTGTTTCCTGATTGGTAATCCAAGAGGATAAAAAGAGTTTACCAACAAAATATGGGAATTTAGCACTCTAGATTAGCGCGCTAAACTAACTAAATAAGTTTTGACAGTTTAAATTCTGCAATATTTTTTTCAATTTGTTAAATTATATCAAATGATACAATATCTATTTTTTTCTTAAATTTAGTGCTTTTAGTTTAAAACTCTTATATAATCGAATAAAGGGTTGACTTTTATATAATGATACAATAATGACTTTTTTTTTTGCATGATATTAAGTTATAGTAGCCAAAACTATATAAATAAATAAAAAATTCATGTAACGTACGTATATTGTTTGCTTGACATGTCAAAAAAAAATTAACATTTTTATAAAACAGAAACAAAAAATAAATAAAATTTGATTCCTCATGTTTCACATAATAATAAAATTAATATATTTTTCAACACACAGATATAAACCACTCATGTAAATTAAAAAAGAGCCACCGACACGATGCTTACTTCTCTTCCTTCGGGCACCTCTACATAGCTGCCCTTCGACAACCCAAAACGCTGCCCGCTGAGCTGTAAAATCACGTTACACTATACGACATCGTTTCACGCCGACTAAATATTTTTCTTTTCAGTTCGTTCCCTCTCTTCAAACTGTTGTGACGGTACAATTGTTGGTGATGGGTATATGCTTGTTAAGATTCTTGTGTTCGAAGTTGATGTCACACTCGACCTTCTTGTTGAACTTTGGCTGCACTAATTTCCCCAACACGTAAGCCCGTGATCGAACGATGAAGCTAAGCGTCATTGGCACCGGTGCTGGTGGTGCTGGCGGCTCGGGTGTCTCAGGTGGAGATCCTTTCTTCTTCTTCTTTGGTTTGGGAAGTGGAGCTGGTGGTGCTGGTGGCAGCAATGTCGAACCACTTCCGTATAACGGAATCTTCTCTCCCGTCACATGAACCACCACCGTACTATGACTCTTCCTTGACTGATAAAACTTCTTGATCTGCATATCACAATCAAATCATATGATTCATAACAATCGACAAAACATATCGAGAAAATGCGACAAAACCAACACTAATATATAAGATACATAGACGAATACACAAATCTGCTCGTTTCGAGCGGATTTAGCAGATGTATCTTATATATTAGTGTCGGTCCATTCGAACCTAAACACATTCAATGGAATTAGTTTCCGAATCCGCTCGTTTCAATGGGATTTAGCCTAAAGTGTCGGTCCATTCGAAACTTAACACATACACAATGGAATTAGTGAGAATGAACTTACCGATCCAGAACCAATTTTGATCTGGGAGAAACTAAGATCAATAGGAGATGAAGTAACATGAACACCAAAGAATGTTCCAGTGTTCTTATACAACATTCTGATAGTAGCGTTCATTGTGATCATATCAGTTCCAACACCACCAGCATCTTGACCAGCTTGGACCTTAAGCGTTTCAAACGTTATAGTCTGCAAGATTCAAAAACTTCAACAATTCAGTTCAGATCTAAACAAATTTACAAATTCTCAATTCCTCCAAAGATCTATTAGATTCAAACTCAAATTTAGCGAAATTGGGAGTAAGATACATCATAGATCTGATGAAAAAAATCGAAGTTTCGAATTCGAATTCCTAACCTTGACGGTGATTTTAGGTTTCTGAGGTTTAGCAGCACCGTAGAGAATCAAAGAGAAGAGACCAAAGAGAATGAAGAAACCAACGATGAAAGCCAAAACATAGCAACGACGAGGAACACCACCGTCTCTATCACCGTCATCTAACAAACCTTCTTCTTCAATCACAGCACACTCTTTCCACTGTTTCTCTCCGCCGTGACCTTTCCGTTTAGAGCCGTCGTTAGGGTTGACTTTTCTAGATCCGGGCTTGAGAGAGCCGGAGAATCGGCTGGAGGAGGATTCGCGGGAGTGGCGGCCCATAGAGGATTGAGAATGCGGCGGAGATCCCATCGGACTTAGCACCGGAGTTGAGTGAAACGAAGTCGCCGTTTTTTCTCCGTCGTGAGAGTCGCGTGACGGTGATTGGACATAGTAGACTGGTCGACGTGGAGATCTGGTTGGTGATGAAGCTGCGATGCTGGTTACCTCGGAATCGGTTTTGGCGTGCATTTTCGTGGAGGAGCACGACGGAGATGAAGAAGAAGAAGCTTTTGGGTTTTTTCTCTGAGAAGTGTTGGAGAAGAGAAGAGAGGAAGAAAGAGGAAAGTGTGAAACTCTCTGATGAGTCCTCTTGTCAAAATGTGAGGATTTTGTGAGTTTTTTTATTTTATTTTTTTTGGTTTATTACTAAAACGCGTTCGTTATTATATAGTAATTATTAGGGAGACTATATTATTAGTTTAAGAAAGTGACACAAATTTGTTTAAAAGTAAGTAATTTTAAAAAAAATTATAAATAAAATGTTGTTTTGAAATTGGCAAAGAAATCGAATTATTATGGAGATTACTATATGATTAGTTTGAAAAATTGTTGATAATGACACTTGTATTAAAAGTTAGTAATAATTTTGGTAATTTTATAAGTAAAAAATTGTTTTAAAAAAAAAGTGGCAAAAAAATTCAAAATTAATCAGTGAAATTTCATAATAATTTCAGATACTTATAAGTGGTAATAATATATTATATTACTGGTTAAATTCAGATTTGTTGGTTTAGTTTGTAAATTCTTGCAAATTGATTGTAATTTTTAGGGAAAACAAAACATATTATTAGGAAAGTTTTTGTTTTTTTTTTTGCAAGAAAGTACAATGTAATTTGTAGCAACATATTAGATTGATAGTAATTTGTCAAGAAAACATATTACTTAGAAATTTTGTAAGAAAAAAACGAACAATAATCAATATGCATGCATTTTTCAAAGTAAGAATTATTGTTCGAAAGACAACAGTCTTTTTTTGTATTAAGCTGAAAAAAAAAACTTTTTTCTATTTTCTTTAAAGTTCCATTTATAGTTGCTTGACAATTAAGTTATATATATATATATATATATATATATATATAGTTTAGTGTGGTTGGTAAATTATAAGAAGAAATGTATGGAACTTTAAAAGATGTACAAAATAAGTCTTATCTACTTTGGTACCGTTAAAAAACAAATGTGAAGTTCACAATTTTTTTTTCTTCCATATTACTTATTTTCAAGTAATTATTTCATGTTAACAAGAAACAAATGATATTTAAGATTCTGATAAAATGAAATTAAAAAAATTAAAAAATTATATAAATTGTCGGTCATTGTTGAGATGGCAAAATCACAAGTCATTGTTAAAAACTTAAAATATTGCAAAATAAAGAGTTTCAAGTAAATTAATTCATGTATGCCATATTATAATTATAATTTAAAACAATTTAGTTGTTGCGTAACTCTCATATGATCATGACTAATTGACTCCTCGACCAAAAAAAAAAATGACTAATTGACTAATGAATTGGCTAATGTAAATGAAACTTATTAAATTAAAAATTCAGTGTTCAGAATTTTGATAGTATATGACTTATGTGGTTAATGTTATATATTATTAATTTAATCAAACTGAATTATTTCTTCTACCGACAAACCAAAAATAAGAAGGTCAAAAACTATATAATTTTTTCAAAAATAAATTGAAGCACCGACAAAACATAACAACAAAATCAGAAAAACATGTCTGTACTGTAATAAGTGAAAGTCATGTAAGATGATGACTAAAATGAAATCAACCCTAAATAGTCTCTAACTCTGTATTATTAAACTTGCTATTCTAAAATTGGTTATAACACTCTAAAATTCAAAAAAAAAAAAATTAATTTGTTTTTATACTGTTATTAAACACTTTCAAATTAATCCATATATAAAGATTATCTAAAGCAAAATCCATTTTAAATTTATTAATCTTACTATTCTAGAATAGGTTATAATAGAACTCTAACCTTTTTTTTTATTTAATACTTTTTTGAGAGAATATTTAGTAAATGTTTATTAGTTAAACTAATATTATTATTAAACGCATGCATTTTCCATATAAAGAGAGTTTACACCTTCATAACATAAAATTCTAATGTTAATTAACAAGTAAACATTGATTTTAATTAATAGTTATTCTGTGCTAAGTAATTAACAAAAGTGGGTTTATAAATTAAAATAATGGAGAGTTTCTATGGAAGAAGCAAAGAACAAAGAGTTTTTATTCTGTATCTGACAGTGGAAGGTAGAAGAATACAGCCGCACTCCAGTTGTCTTGTCCACTACTTTTTTATTTTTTATTTATTTTTTGTCCTTACCCTTTTTTTTTTTCTTTTTTTACCAAAATATATCATTTATCCATTGTCACGTTTCATCATGTACAAACATAAGAATCAATATGAGAAAATTTATATAAATACCTAAACAATTCATATCATCAATACATATTCAATTCCATCAGATTTAGGATAATGTACGTTAAAACTTGATGCTCATCACACTGATATGTGATATTATCGGACTTAATGCACAACACTTTCAACTGTTTGTCGATCGGATCATACCCTAGATAAGGTCTTGTCTCAGTATTATTATTACTCTTCAAACTCAGTTCAGGTAAGGGTAAGGACTGTCCCGTGACTGTGGTTACAAACAACCAATGTATCTTGACTTCCCCAGTCACGATGAGAGATGAATCCACGAAGTGATGACTGGTGAATCAACATAAGATGAAAGATAAGTGGAAGTGTTCTTATGGTGAACTTGATAACGAAAGGGTACAAGAGAGGAAACGTTCTCATGTAGATTCTGAGGGTGAGGTGAAGAGAAGAAGAAGAAGAAGAAGAACTTGCCATTAGCTTCTAAGGTGAGAAAGAGCAGAGGTGGACAAGTACAAGACGTAGCAAAGTAAAACAGGATGGTTAAGTATTTGCCATTATTCTTCCATTCGGGTATTTTTAAGATAGAGGAGCTAGGAATAGGATAAATAAACGAACCGGACCAAGATTTTGGTTGTTCGATTCAATTTCGGTTATGAGTTCATAAACCGATCGGTAAATTGAAATTTAGTTTGATTAATTGAGAATTGTGGTTTGATCGATTCGGTTCTCGATTAATTAAATATTATTTTAAAAAAATTAAATTAACCAGATTTTACCACAATTAGATCTGGTTTTACAAATGTGAAATCAGTTTTCATTAGTAACCGAACCAAACTAACTGGAATTATCTCACAATAACCAATTAAACATTGTTTTTAAAAGAAAATTTTGGTTATATATTGAAGTTCATCAAAATTACTCAACATGTAAAAAAAAATAAAAACATTAGTGATTTAATATATCCAGTAATATGTAAAATATACCAAAAAACCATCGTACTCATTATATACCAAAAAGGCTATTTCTCAAAAATTCTCTTATATATATTTAACCTAAATATATTAGAAAACTCACAAACTACTCAAAAGTATTTAACATATTCGGAGTTTACAATTGTAATTTTTGTTATTTAGGTTATCAATTTTAAGTATATTTGCAAATTTTTTTTTTTTCAAATTTGACTGATTTCTTTTTTTTTTAGGTCAACCATAAATTTTATTTACTGAAAATCTGGTAATTAATCAAATTATAAACATTAGGTTTTCAATGACTTTTTTTTTTATATTCGACATCAATCATATAAAAAAATAAAAATAATAAAAATAAACAACAAAGAACCTTCAGATGTGAAACGAGAGGCGTGGCCTCCACGCCCTAGTAGTAGTTAATCTCCGTTATTCCTTTTTTTTTTTGTTTTGTTTTTTTTTCAAATCTCTGTCTCGTTTCTGAAAACTTTCTTCTCATTGTTCATCTTCAATCTCTCTCACATCGTACGTTGGTGTGATCTCATCTATCTAAAGATCGTTTTATGAAGGTATACTATGTTAAAAATCGCATTTGTTGTTATTTTTGTTTAAACCTAATGATATGATCATAAGAAAATGTGTATAAATGAATGATTTAAGCAGGTAACGTTTGTGAGAAACCGTGATAATGATGGATGATGACAAAGTCTCCAATGACTTTTCTTTACAGCCTGATGATCTCAATGTCCATACCTCGACCCCTTTCGGTAGTATTATATTCGATTCATCGATTTGTGATCTCTTAAACTTGGAAGAAGATGGTGGAGGAGACACACCAAATCTTGTACCGGAACATAACCCGTTTCTTGATTCTTTGGATGGAAATCAAGAAACAGAGTCTCCAAGTGTGTATATTGCACCAAAGGTCATGATTAATCATCAAGACTCGTTTTCGCTTGATTCTCGAATCGATGACTACATCGAAGATGCAAAGGTTTTGCCTGGAGGGATTCAAGATCTTGGTCTTTCACGTCTTAGAGTTCCTGGCTCACCAAGAGCTTTTATTCATCCGAGATCTTCTGTATCACCGCGTTTCGGATCGCCTACTAGTCCTGTCTTGATCGATACCGCTGCACCGTTTGAATCGGTTAAAGAAGCAGTTTCAAAATTTGGTGGGATCACAGATTGGAAAGCACATAAAATCCAGACAATTGAGGTATAACAAATATGTTCTTAGGTTCGGTTTTTTCTGGACCGGCTCTGTTCTTAGTTTTTTTTTATTTTTTATGATTTTCTCTAGAGAAAGAAGACAGTGGATCAAGAGCTTGAGAAGATACAAGAATATATGCCTGAGTACAAGAAACAAGTGGTTGTAGCAGAAGAGGCGAAGGAGCAGGTGGTGATGGAGCTTGAGAGGACAAGGAGTGTTGTCGAGGAACTAAAACTAGAGCTAGAGAAGGCTGAGAAAGAGGAGCAACAAGCAAAACAAGACTCTGATCTTGCGAAGCTTCGAGTGGAGGAAATGGAGCAAGGGATAGCTGATGAGGTGAGTGTCGCAGCGAAATCGCAGCTCGAGGTGGCTAAAGCGAGACATTTATCCGCGGTTTCTGAGTTAGGAACCATAAGAGAAGAGATACAAGTAATGTCTAATGAGTATGAGTCTTTGTTGAGGGAAAAAGATTCGGTTGCGAAAAGAGCAGAGGATTCAGTTTTGGAAGCTAAAGATGTTGAGAGAAAGATGGAAGGTTTGACAATAGAGATGATTGCCACTAAGGAGTTATTGGAGTCAGCTCATGCAGCTCATCTTGAAGCTCAAGAAAATAAATTTGAAGCAGCCATGGCTCGGGATCAGGAAGTTTATAATCAGGAGAAGGAACTCAAAATGGTTGAAGAACAGATTGAAAAGCTTAGACAAGAGATTGATGCAGCTGATGATGTGAAAACCAAACTACATACTGCTTCTGCACTTCAGAAAGACTTGAGGGCTGAAATAGCGGCTTATAAAGAGTCAAACATGGGAAAGAGAAACAATAGTGACATACAAGTAGCGGTTGATTCCGCGAGGAATGAGCTCGAAGAAGTTAAAGTAAACATTGAGAAAGCAAATTCCGAGGCGAAAACATTGAAGATAATTGTTGGATCATTGCAGTCCGAACTCGAAAGGGAGAAGAAGGATTTATCAGAGACAAAACAGAGAAACAGTGAAGAAACAAGAGAGGAGAGATGTACAGAAATAGCCAAGAAGTTGCAAGAAGCGAATAGAGAGGCAGAGGAGGCAAAGTCACTTTCTGAAGCGGCTCGAGAGGAGCTGAGAAAGGCGAAGGAAGATTCGGATGAAGCGAAAACCGGATTCTCTACAATAGAAAGTCAGTTAATCAAAGCGAAAAAGGAAATGGAAGCTGCTAGAGCTTCTGAAAAGTTGGCCTTAGCCGCGATAAAAGCGTTGCAAGAGACTGAATTTGCTAGCAAAATCGAAGATATTAGTAGTTCACCAAGAAGCATAATCATTTCAGTGGAGGAATATTATGAGCTAAGCAAACAAGCACATGAGGCAGAAGAGGCAGCCAACAGAAAACTAGCAGAGATCGTCTCCAAAATCGAAGTGGCTAAGGAAGAGGAATCAAGAATCTTGGAGAATCTTGAGGAAGTGAGAAGAGAAACAGCTATAAGAAAGATAGAGCTAAAAGAAGCAATGGGAAAAGCCGAGAAAGCTAGAGATGGGAAGGCTGGTATGGATCACGAGTTGCGAAAATGGAGGTCGGATAACGGGAATAGGAGCCCCGAGGGGGGAAATAAAGAGAACTTAAGCAAGTCGAAATCGGCTTTACATAAACCAACTTCATTTACATTTGGTGAGCAAGGAAGCAGTAGTAATGTTACCCCTGAAGCAAAAAAGAAAAAGAAAAGGTTCTCTTTGTTGCCAAAGGTCTTCATGTTCTTGTCAAGGAAGAAGTCATCCAACAAGTGAGTTATTCTATTTGTATGTCGTTATGGAACTGGAAAATAGAGTATCTAAATTGAGAGAGAACAGTGAACTTTTAAATTTGTTGGTTAGAACAGATTTGTTGTATTCTTAAAATGAAATAAAGGTATTGATACACTTGTCGAATAATCGAATTTTCGTTACAAATTAATGTACCTAAGAAGAGGTGAAAAGGGTTTGAATGATGGTTTTATGCCATGGGTTTGAGAGATGCTCCACAAGGTTCTCAATAGGGCCAGTGTGAGTCACAGAGGCTTGAACGAAGAACCCGAGCATCGCCATCATCGCTAGACGACCTGTTAAAAAAACCGATCAAGCATGTCACACACTTAAAGCTTAAAAGTGCACAAAACAAACCAATGAGTCTATATATTACCATTCTTGATCTCCTTAAGCTTCCAGTCATGAGCATTTTTAATGTCCTTAGCCAAGCCTAACGGGTTCAAAAGCGGTCCGCCGGGATATCCAGGCTCAAGCCCTTCGAATGCTGCTTGAATTCCAAAGAAGAAAGATTCTTCTTTGGCTTGAGATCCCGGAGAGACAAAATCCATATACCTTTTCATCTCAGCAAACCTGTGGAAACAATACAGAATCATTCTAAGCTTTTGTTGGTTAACAATACAGAGATATTGAGTTTGATTCATTACCCCATAAGTAGAAACTGTACAACTATGAGTGTTTTTGTGCTAGCAAAATCAAATTTAACAGCTCCAGCTTCATACCAAACCGGTAAATCACGAATCCCTGTGGTCCGAAGCAGCTAAAGCAACCAAACAAAACTCTTAAGTTAGTCATATTTTTGCTATATTTCACTACATTTTCAAAGACTCAGAATGTTCAAGATTAGTGATTACATCTGTGAAGAGTATGCCTGCAACACCAAGCATGGCGAAACGAGAGTGAACAAGCTCAGCTTGAACATACCATTTCAAGCTTTCCGGATCCTCTCCTAACCCAAGTGGGTCAAACCCGTAATCTCCAGCTAATCTTTATATTTCAAGAACACACAAGAAGAGATGGTTCAAATTTGAAGCTTTTGTAGCAAATGGAGACAAGACAACAAGAACAAGGATACTCACTTTCCATCAAGATAAGGAGGAGGGTCAAGGCCAGGTAGCCACGTGGGACGTTTAACAGCCACCGTTGGATTGATGCCTCCTGCTCCTGCGGTGGCTCTGACGGATGTGATTCTTCTTGTGATGACGGATGAAGTGTTGTGACGACGGTGAAGAAAGCCTCCGGTGATGCCTCCACGTAAGACGACAGACATTTTGCTCTGTCTTTTTGCTTACGTTGTGTTCTGTTCTGCTGTGACTCTTGTTTATTTGTTATCGGCAAGTTGAAGCTAAGAAAGTAACGTGGTCCACGTAAATTAGTCATTTTGTTAAAATCCGTTGATAAAGGGAATGAAATGTTTTGAAGTTTTAGTCCCATGCCAAGCTATTATTATGTAAGGTTTGACTATTAGTATAAAGTATAAACATATAAATTTATTTACATTTGTCTTAATTTTTTGTTACTAGATCTTCATGTTAATTGTTAAATTTTGATTAATATTAATATTTTGGGATGTCTCTTTTTTTTGGAAAATCACAATATTCAAAAATCAAAACAATGATGATGTTTGTTTTACACAATGGCAATGCTACCTAGCCCTGAGACAGATCCGAATATCCGGGGTTTTTGGGACTATCCAGATCCGGCTCTGTATCCGTCGGATATAGAGAAACACTATTGGGATCCGGATCCGTGGCTACCGATTATCCGGATTCGAATATCCGTTAAAAAAACCGGATATTATTGGCGAATATAGGATATATATTGTAATATAATATATTGGCAAACTAGATACAGAAAAATTGTCGGATCCAGATATCCGCGGATATCTATTGGGGAAAATAGGATATATATTGTAATATGTATATTGTCTGTATTTAGTTTGACAATATATTATGTGTTTACTTAGGTTAATGTCATTGTTTATAATCGACTCAAGGTTGCGCCTTATATACAATGACATTAACCTAAGTACACATATGCAAGTCTTGAGACTTATTATTAAAGTTTGCAATTCAAAGTTACTAACTCACGTGATCGTAATATATATCAAATAAAACAAAAGATGTTGCCACATATATAATTTTGTTAATATTTAGATAAAAATAGAAATTTTTTTCATCCTAACTACTCCATAATTAACACGCTTAACAGTGGAGTTCTCTTATGACTCTTAACCGAAAATATACGTGCTATTTGGTGACAATTGGCCAATCAATTCTATTAAATCTCTCCGCATATATCACTATATATCATGAAACCTTGGTGTCACAATTAATTGTAATCCGACATGTAACCCAAATATTTTGGATTTTTTTACGTTCTCGACACCAAAACTTCGTAAACCAACTATTATTTTATTTTTTTAAAAGAAAAAAATTCAAACCAAATTTTTAGGGTTATTTTGAAACTACCTTGTTTATGAGTTATACTTTGAAATTACCCCTTTTATTTTTAAAATTAAAAGTTTATATATAAGATGATTATTCTGTCTATATTTAAATTTAAGGAATTGTTTTTAGTAAATTAAAACTAAATTCAAAGTCTAGAGAAAAAACTAAATTTCTATTATTAATTTAGAGAAAAATAAAATATCATTTACATATAAAAAAATCCAACTATTTAAGCAAAATTTCCAACTTAACATATCACAAATTTTTTTTCAATTCAACTGTTCTTGCTGATATTATCAATACAATTTTTTGTTTTCTATATGTTGTCAATAATAATGAATCATACACCATGACAATAACACTTTGACTTACTATTAATAGAAAGCTGTTATTCATTATTATTTTTACAAAATATTTAGAATGATAAAACCTTAAAAATCATAAGTTATCTAACAACTTTGTAAAATTTTAAATATTTAATTATTACCAATTGAATTTATAAAATATAGATATTTTGGTTGATTATTATTATATAATTTTACATATTTAAAATAATTTATAAAAAAGGATATTTTCAAAAATGTAAACTAATTTTTTTTAAAAAGAGTATTTTTCCAAATTTACTCGATTTTCCGATTCCTTCATCTCTAATAAGAGCGAAAACCCTAAAAATCAGAACAACCAAAGACATTCTCTTCTCCCACAAATACCTAACCTTGAAGCTCTTAGATATCGCCATGAAAAATCGTGTAACAGAACTCCCAATAGATCTCCTAATGAACATCTTCTCTCGAGCTCCTGCAAAATCCATACCTTAGTTCCGTTGCGTATCAAAACTATGGGAATCCATACTTAACCATCCTGACTTCACCGAGTTTTACTTGACCACACGTCCACCTCTACTCTTCTTCACCTTAGAAGATAATAGCAAGCTCTTCTTCTTCTCCTCACCACACCCACCACATGAGAACATCTCCTCTCTTGTACCTTACATTACCAAGTTCACCAGAAGACGACTCCAACTATTCAAACATCTTATGTTACTTCACCACTCCGTGGATTCATCTGTCATCGTGATTGTGGAAGTCAGGATGCATTAGTTGTATGTAACCCGTTCACAAGAGAGTTCTTACGCTTACCTAAATTGAGTTTAAAGAGTAAGTATACCAACACAAGACCTTACTTAGGGTTTGATCCCATCGAGAAACAATTGAAAGTGTTGTGCATTAAGTATTGAAAACCCAACTTTATATAATAAGATATTTGTAAATACTGTGTTACAGTTTTTAACTAAGTAATTAATATTTATTTATTTTTCTCTTTTTATTAATTTGTTCTTTGTCAATTTTCTTATTAATAGTAAATTTTAATTAATAATAAATACTTCAAAATTTACAACAGTAATGTTACTAATCAATTATTTTGATGATAATAATCATAATTTTACAGCAAATTTATTACATCAAACTATAAGGTACTTGTGTTGACTTGAGGTGGAACTCCAGCTTCAACTTGAGCATGACGTACCATTATGGCCTTGAATGTCAACAGTTTTTATATTAGTTTTTGTTTTTTGATTCTAAAAAACCAAAAAAATTGCCATTCACGATTTTACTAAAAGTGATTTCCTTAAATTTAGGGAAACTAGTTTTTATCAGATTTTAACAATTCCTTCATAGAATCTAAAAACCATTTTTTTTCAGCTTTCTAACAATATTACGTGACATTTTCTTATTGATTATTAACTTTTATTTTTTTCATATAAAACCAAAAACTAAACAAATTACCATTCAAGATTTTGCAAAAACTAAAATCTACAGCAAAAATCAAAAACTAAAAACCAAAAGCCAAAAACCAAAAACCAAAAGCTAAAACTCATTTAAAAACTACAAAACATTCATGGCCAAAATATACAACCTCCTAAGATTGCAATATATATATATATATATATATATATATATATAAGGGAATTACCATTATAAATACATAGAATAATATTTGACATATATAGACATAGATAAATGAAAATCATATCCTTATTATTTTTTTTTAATTTCTCATCTTCATTTAACATTTTTCGTGCGAAGTATTTGGTTCCAACTTAATTATCAAGGTAACTAAACATGGGAATGTACAAGTTATCTGATATCAATAACATTATAAAAAAAAATTATATTTATTATATTTTATATAATTGAATTATTTTTATATTGTATGATATATACTACATACTTAATGTAATAAATCTGAGGTTATCACATAACTTGTAACTTATTGCGGTACAATATATTTTACATTGTTAATCAACAAATGATCACGCAAATTTCTTTTAATTACTTTTGTTATAATTGTGTTCTCGAACAATGTAGTTAGAGTACAAATAAACAGTCATTTTGATGTACAATATCAGAAATATATGTATTTTTATTATTATTGTTAACTGATAATATATATCTTAAATTCATTTTTTTTTTAATTAATATCTTTGGTAACTGATAAAAATGCAGTTAGTATTACAAGTCAGTCACTTTTCATTTCTTCATGTTAGATCAAATTGGTAGTGTTACAGAGTTATTTTTTCAATATATAAAAATAAAGAGAGAGCCAATTAATTTTTAAAAAGCCTAATAACATATTTACATTCATTGGTGTATCTCTCTATCCCTATATTAGTAAAAGAGAAGTACAAAAAGTGCTTCCGGGTCGGGTCAATTTCAAAAAATTACCCGAAATTTGTAATTGGATCTTTTAAAATTGGATAGATTAATGGGTTTGGATACATACACCGGATACTTTCCAAATCTAATTTTAGGATTGTATTATTTCCATAACTAATTATAAGATTTACTAATATTTCTCTAACTAATTTAATACAATCTATTTAGAAAATATTATTCTTCTTTCACTTTTATTTGATATTATTTTTAATTTATGATATTATACTATATAATATAAATATTTAATAAAAATTTAACTTTTTTTCATATGTTGCAATTTGAACTTTTCAAAACGGACATATAATACTCAACTACACTCGGTTAAATATTTTGGACAACGGTTTAAAATCATTATAAG